GAAGCCATGTTTATATTGGTTCTTATCCTAAATTAGTTGAAAATATAACTCATGGCAAAATTTCATAATGAAAATTATTGCCTTTATTTCTCAAAAAAGAGAATGGGAAAATCTACTTTATCGCGAACTTTAGTTATCGAATTAGCCAAACAAAAATACAAAGATATTCAACAAGGATGGGGTGGTCTAACTGGTAAAAGTGTCTAGTGCTTATTTCTGTAGTAAAAATCAAACTAAACAATACTCTGATTTAGGATTTTTTATGAAGAAATACTGTGAAAATAATAAAACAATAATTCATCGGTTAGAATTTTCATGTGTTGTAGAGAAAATTGCGAATTGAAAAACTAAAGTTTGTTTTATAAGTTCTTAAATTTTCTCTAAAACTATTAATATATTTCAATTCTAAAAGAGAAAAAAATTAATCAATGTCAAAAGAACAAAAAAACCAATTAAGGATCACTATTTCTGGCTACGACGTATTTACTACTGAGGAAGCCACCCAACTAGTTTTAGAGAAAATTTTAAAATTTGGACTTACTTTTAACAAACTTAAACCTAGTCCTATTCGTTTTCCAACTGAAAAGGAGGTAGTTACGGTGCTGAAATCCCCCCATAAACATAAGGATGCCCAAGAACAATTTGAGCGAAGAACTCACCGGCGAAAGATATTTATTTCTAATGTTTCTCAGATTGATTTGAAAAAGTTAGAAAGAGAGTTAATAAGTGTTTCAAATTCAGTTCATCTCGCGTTTAATTTTTGTTAATTTTTGCTCAATAAGCACGAAATAATTTTACGGGAATATAGTAAATTTTAGCACCGATTTGGAATTTTTGTCGATTAGTGGCAAATTTTCTTTTAGTGACTCGTCTCGCTTGTCCTGAACGTGAACGATTATTCCCAAATAATGGTTTATTTTTTTGATTTAATAATTTTTTTAATTCTTGATTTTTCATATGGCATCAAACGAATGATTATGGTTAGTGATTTTTTTCACTATTATTATATTTTTTATTTATTATTCTTGAAAAACTTATAAGGAAAGTTTTAAAACAAAAATCTCTCTGCAAGTTCAAGAAAAATGAAAGAAGAAACTACAAACTAAGGAAAATCAGTTAGAATTGGCACGTAAGAAGTTAATTAGCGAGAGCGAAAGAGTAAAAATTAATGAAAATAATTTAAAACTCGAAGAAAAAAAGGTTGAAAATTTTGCTAAGCAATTACTCCTCAAAGAAGAATTAGTTACTAAACAATTAATTGTTAGTTCGCAAAAACAAGAGGAAATCCAACAAAAAGCGGAAAAATTATTAAAAATAAAAAATCAAATAGTGGAGGGTTTAGAAAGAGCCATTCCAATGAGTAGGGAAGAAGCTAAGAAGTGCTTATTTTCGTTGCTTAAAGAAGAGATAATTCAAGAACTTCATGATTATCAAGAGGAAGAAATTTCTCGAGTAAAAAACAAAATTAAGGAAGAAAGTGCGAAAATAATCTGTTTGGCTTTGGAGAGATATAGTTCAGAATTAGTTTTTCCTAAGACAACTAGTACCCTACAATTAGAAAATAAGCAGACTATTAGTAGAATAATTGGTAAAGAGGGGCGAAATATTAATGCTTTTCGAAAGATTACTGGAACTGATTTGTTAATTGATAAAGAGAATAAAGAGTTAGTGGTGCAAATTTCTTCTTTTAATTCTTTGCGCAGAGAAATAGCTTTACAAACTTTAAGTTCACTAGTTAGGGAAGAAAGATTTTCTCCGGTTCAAATCGAGAAGACTTTTCAAAGAGTTAGTTCGGAGGTCAGCGAGTTAGCTATTGAAAATGGTAAAATAGTGCTAAAAGAACTAGAATTGACTGGTATTCACCCCGAATTAATTAATTATTTAGGGAGACTTAAATATCGTACTAGTTATGGGCAAAATGTTTTGGAACATTGTTTAGAGGTAGCTAAATTATCAGGAAGCATTGCTGCTGAACTAGATTTAAGTGTTTTGCTTGCCCGCCGGGCTGGATTGTTTCATGACATTGGAAAATCGGTTGAGGATAGCGGAAGGTATTCTCACGTTATTAATGGGATTGAGTTAGCCAGAAGATATAAAGAACCAGAAGTAGTCATTAATGCGATTGCTTCCCATCACCATGATTATCCCGCTGATAATCTTTACTCGCTAATTGTTATTGCGGCTGATAAGTTATCTGCGGCTCGCCCCGGAGCTCGCGGTTATCAGTTAGAAGCTTATATTGAGAGAATGGATAGTTTAGAGAAACTTGCTAAAGAAATCCCCGGGGTTAAAAAAAGTTATGCTTTCCAAGCCGGTCGGGAAGTTTGAATAATTGTTGATCCGGAAAAAGTAGATGATTATCAAGCTTGGGAAATTTCCCAAAAAGTTAAGAAAAAAATTAGAGAGCGAATAATTATTCCGGGTGAAGTAACCATTCAGGTAGTACGGGAAAAAAAGTTTATCCAAAAATTAAATACTCTCGAGGATCATCATATTCAAGGCATTAAAGAAAGTGAATTAGAACCAGTTCAAGCAATAATCAAGAAAAAAACTAAAAAACCTTGGCCAAGAAAAAAACTAAAAAATGATTTGCCGAAAAAAAATCCTTAGGCCGCTCTTCAAAAAATTCAAATGAAGTTTTTTTGGCCTTTTTCTTCTCGTTCTTCTAGATAGTTTACTGGCTTTTTTGGTTATTTTTAACTTCCGACAAAATTTTTCCTATGATAGTAAAAAAAGAGGCTGATTTTATTATCTTTTCGGAAAACATTCAGTCATTCAGGAAACTCAAGGTACCAAGATATATATCAATTGAAATAAATTGCTCTTGATTCTTTTTTTGTTATATTTTCCTCTCCGGATAATTATTCAATCAACTTTGAAATACTTACAAGACACTTGCTCCAGAAAGGCAACGGTTTTTTTAACCAAGGAGTTGCTTAGTTTTGCTTATCAGCATAAGGATCTGATAACCAAAAAACAAAAAGAAAAAATTTATATTGTTAATCATTTTGTTCCTATTTTTGCTCGGCAGTTATTTGTTATTCTAGTTAGTATTTTTGATATTTTTATTGAGTTTATTATTGACTTGTTCTGATTTTATACTCTAATCAAAGTTAATGAGTTGTTTTCCTTAACCCCTTTTGTTTTCGTATTTGTACTTATTAATTTGTTTTGGCTGATTTTGTTTGAAGTATTTACTAAAAAAACTGTACGTCTTCAAACAAAGAAAACGCTAGACTACCAAGCAATTGAAGAAAACCAAATAGAATTTTTTCTCAAAAGTTTAAAGAATGATGACGAATCAATGAGTTTCAAAAAAGTTCATAGATCATTAGATAAGAATTCACAAAAATTGTCTTCATTGAGTTTTGTTTCGCTGTTTCTAGATTTGCCTTATTTAATAATTTCTGGTCTTCATCTACTTTTTCTTCTTCTTTATTATAAAGTTTTTTTGGGTGGACAAGGGGGCTTGGAATGAGAAATTTATTTTGTTGCCTTGGCTATTCGAAGTGTTTTTTTTCTAGTGCGAAGAACCTTTAAACTTTTACCAACTATTTCTTCCTTGTTAAAAAATTATAGACAGGTTAAAAGATTTTTTGATTAAGTATTTTTTTAAACTTTCTCTGATAAACCAACTGCTGAATATTTTCGGGTTCTTTCTTGCTCCATTTGATAAGCACAGGAGCAACAATATTCTCAACTAACTTTCCCGCAAACTTTTTACTTGTTTACAATCTCAACAATAACCGCTCCTAAAAATATAAAAGCCAAGTTGGTTGTGAAACTTTGACTAAATTAGAAAAAGCTTCGAGAGTGGTTTTAGCATTGAGGAAGGAATCGCAAGGTTTATACGATTTAAGTCAAATTCCTACTAAATTATTAAAAGCGGAGTTAGCTAAGAGAGAAAAGGAAATAAATCACAACTTGGCTGAATAATTTTTAGTTTCGCTTTGCCCTTTTTAATTTTGCTTACTATGTGGATTAATTAAAAGTAAAAGTTGTAAAATTTATTATAAATAGTTTAATTTTTGTTTTATGTCAATTCTATTAAAAATTTTTTTCTTCTTGTTGGGAATAGTTATTTTTGTTTTTTCTTTCTTTTTTGGTGAAGAGGACAGTTTTTCTGCTACCCGCGAAAGTAAAGAAAAAATACATAAATCTACCCATTTTACTAAACTAACTAAATTTATTCGTAATATTTATGCTTTATTGATAGTAATATTCTTGGTAATTGCTTTTTTGATAAAATAGTAACCAAAATTAAGTTTTGAAAGGGTTTTTTAAAAAGTTAGGTGTTCGGGTCAAGGAGCAAGTTCCGTCAATATTTTTCGGAAAGGCAATTAGTTCTTTTAAATTATTAGTGTTTAATATGATGGCTAATAAGCGGTCAATTCCCATTCCAAATCCGCCGTGGGGCGGGGCAGCAAATTCGAGAGCTTGCAAAAAGTAACCAAAATTTTCGGCTTGTTCTTGCTGGTTGTAACCTAATATCTCTAAAATTTTTGCTTGTAATTCATGCTGGTGGATACGTAGACCACCACTTAATATTTCCTCACCATTACAGACTAAGTCAAAAGCTTCACAGATTACTTTTTCTAATTTAATTTTCCCGCTTAATAAAGGTCTAATATATTTTTTTTGTGGCTTAGTAAAGGGATGTCGAGCTGTTTTGTATTTTTTAGTTTCTTGATTATATTCAAAAAGTGGTCAATCAGTTATTCAGATAAAGTTTAATTGATCCCGCTTAGAATCGGTTCTTAAATCTGGTTTATCATTGCCATATTTAGTTATTGCTTGCTGGTAAGTTAAGCGAGGAAAAGGTAGTTTTATTTGGTAACCAAAAACTTTCTTTAAAACGGTTTGGAGAAAATTTTCAATCATTCTCATTATCTGTCGAGAAGAAGCGA